TAGAAATTTAAGTTTACACAAAAAAACCAAAAGCAACACAATACGCACATGTTATTATGTACATCAACTTACACTATAATTAATACAATAACTATTAGTGGTTAATTAATAAACGACGGTGCCAGGGATGGCTGAGCGGCAGTTCCGTGATCATTCGTATTGGGTGGAACTAAGTTTATTGCAATAAAAGTAAATAAAACTTTTGAATAATTATTATTGAAAATCTCAACATATAATTTTCACAATGACAGGGTAAACCGACAGTTTCGTTCCGACTGACTGACTGGGGTGACATTTTTCTTTCTCCTTACCTATGCTGATAGCCTTGAGAGGCTATTTCAGCTTCTCCTTGACGTGTAGGTGAGCTCAAGCCAGAGTATTGCTTACACAGGCCCTAGCAAGAGCAGTGCTTCGCAGAATCTACCACCGGATCGGAAACGCGATCCACTGAGAAGATCCGGCGAGAAACTTAGTGAAAAAAGTGAATTCTGAAGCAGTCCACAAAAATGTTTCAACACACCGAAATTTGAAGGAACAAATTAAGAAGCAATTTTCAGTACATTGATAAGATCAATATCAATTTCGATTCATTTCCAACATGTAAAGACGATTTGATTTTATATTCATAAATCGAAACTGGCGATTTAATGTAATGAGAACTACCTGGACGTGACGTCATTACCGACTAAGTATTGTGGAAACTTCTGAAGAAGATAAATAATTTATTTGGTACTCTAACGAAGAAGTCACAAATGTTATTTTCGCTGCCATACGTCATATATATAACATTTCAAAGAGCTAGTTAGCTAGAAACTCGTTTAAAATATATTTTCTAACAAGTCTCCGAGTATTCGTAATAATATGCTTATAAATACAAGAGGCGGCCATGTTGAAAGGGCATCCAACCGAATACACATTTCACCCCTCAGGTATGTGGCCAGTGTAATTTGAACCGAGTCTGCCTTTGTGTTCCGAATAATTAATGTGATAGATTTATGGAGGGGGGGATTCAGCTAGAGTGGTCCATTTCCCTTTTTTTTTTCGAGCTATGTCTAGTTGTTGATGACTATGCTGATATCTATTAATAATACTATGGTAGCACACTTCTAAATATAGTAAATTTAAAATGAAAAACGTGCATATAAAATGTAAAAAAATCAATTTTACGAAAAAACTTAGTAAAATGGAAACAAAAGCAAAGTTGATGGATGGAAAAAGGATGATTGAAAAATAAGTTTTGGAGGGATGCAAAAGTTTCCCGTACCGGGAATCGAACCCGAGCCTCCTGGGTGAAAGCCAGGTATCCTAGCCACTAGACCATACGGGACATGTATATTTAGTAATAATATTGTTATAACAAACAAAATCTTTTCTACCAAACCATGAAAATTGGCAACATTGAATTTAACCAACAAATAAATCATTTGTATATAAAGATAAACATTTCATTAAGAAAAAGGAAGTGAACAAACGAAGACCAAAATAGATTTTGTGCTTTTTTTATTTTAGTTAAATCGCGTCAATAATAAAATACGTTGCTTTTTGGTTTGAACAATATTTATTGACTGTAATAAGAACTAATGCAAAATTCCGTAGTTTTTCATAGTAGTTTATCTCTATTAGTAGCGACATCTCTGTAGAGTAGTGAAAACATCTTGCATTTTCTCAAATTTTTTCTGAAAGTGTTTCGAGAAAATTCAATAAGTAGACTGAAATACACCACATTTGGTTTGCAAACGTTTTCATAGATGGCGCTTACAGATTTTTTTTTAATTGCGACATTTAATATAAGTTGCACAAACAAACAAAATGTGTGTAAATTGTGCAGAAGATTTTATTTAATATAGCTAACTCAAAAAAAAGTATTAAATTAAGCTTTACTACATTTAACCGAAACAGAATATTTTTTTTTTATTTTGTTAAGAATTGTAAAACTAATGATTAGTTCTTTATATTGATCATAGGTGTCACTGCTCATGTTTTTCAGTCGAAGACGGGTTTTGGCAAAATGATGAGATGTTAAGATTTAGAAAAAAAGATGTGTGGTGTCGTGGGACACCGGATAGGAACGAAGTTCCTTATTATAAAAATATTAATTTTAAGTTCTATTCGAGGTATAAAGAAAATAATTATTCGGGTATACATTTTTTATTATGATTTTTTTTCTCCTACCTACGCTGAAAGTTCGGTTTTCCTTCCGCTCTACAGGGAAGAAAGTCTAACTTTTCCTCCCGCTGTACAGGGAAGAAAGTGTAAATTTTCTCCCTGGGTACAAGTGCGCATGCGCGTTAGTGTCTACGTCTGCTCTCACGCAGCTAAAATTCTGCGCCATTGTTGTGCTCGGGTAATTTGCAATATTGTGTTTAGTGTAAAAGTGAAATAAACAAAAGGCAATAAAATTTAATAGTGAAGTATTAAATGAAGATGAGTTCATCAGACAGTTCTTATTCAATTAGTAGTAGTTTATTTAAAAATTAAAAAACAGTTAAATTGATTTTTTTATGGGGACGGGGGGGCTCCGCCCCCCCTACCCCCAGCCAGGGCTTGGCCCCTGGACCCCGGCTCGGTATTCCATGACCTTTCGGCCTGGTAGGAGAAAAAATAGTATGTGCACCGCGGGAGAAAAGTTGGACATTTCCTCCAGCAGTTTTACACGCGGGAGGAAATGTCCAACTTTTGGCCCTTGGTGCACAATGTACTAATATTGAAAAAAAAAAACAAGAAATTCCAAAACAAAATAATATATAATTTACACTAAAAAAAAACGACGATATCGGTTGGCGTGATATTGAGTTATTTATCTATTTGTCGCGCACGTACTTAATGCAAATTTAAAGCTTAGGTATATGGTATTCTCATGGATACCATTATCAGAACTGGACTAAATTGAAATGAGACCACACGGAAAGCGTTAGCTTTCTAATAAAAAAAAAATCATCAAAATCGATTCACCTAGTCAAAAGTTATGAGGTAACAAACATAAAATCTTACGTTACGGACGTTTTTTTCCGGTTAGGGTACCCCTCCGCATCGTCCCATAAGGAACTTCGTTCCAAAAAACAGGTAAATTGGAGATGTGCCCTGTACGAAGGGAATTTCGAAAACCAGCAAGAAGATGGAGGAAATAATAGTTAGAAATTATGTTAAATTCAATCTCATCTTATTCATAATATTCGTTATTTATTGTAGTTCGTTTCATAATTCCAGAGATCTTAATCCTTCAGGGGTCATAATAGTATGAGCGACGGTAACCATTCACTATCAGGTGGGCCATACACAGAATTGGTTAAAATACGTATCTTAGTATTCTAACGATCCAAATCTATTCAGTTTTATTTAATAGGGGACGTAATTGACCTCGAAGCTCAATGGAGAATAACGTGAGGACAATCCACCAACAAAAATCATTGCAAGCAAATTTAAATATTATTTTATTTAATAGCTTCACGTTTTATAGCCACGATCGGCAACACGGGACTGGGATACCCTTAGACACAGGCCACCGAGGTCTTCTAGGCTGTGATTCCGATCCGGTGGTAGATTCTGCGAACCACTGCTCTTGCTAGGGCTAGCGCTCTTGCTAATAACAAATTCTCTCAGGTTGAGCCCTTGAGCTCACCTACGCCGGGCCTAGTTAGAATAGCCTCCTAGGCTACCAGCGAATATGTAGGGAAAAATCTGGGATAGTAAAAAAAAACAGCAATAAAATTTCAATCACGGTTTCTTAAATACAATTGCATCATAGCACATAATCATTTAGAATATTTCATTGCCGCAGTACATTGAACGATTTCAAAATTCGGAGTCAAACAAAGAAAATTTTTAATTTAAGTTGTTCACTCACTTAAAGTAATGTAAAATAGTATGTTAATAAATTTGAATGTCAAAATTGTTTGAGAATCGCCACGTCGCATTAGTGACTAACACAATTATATCAATTTATCAAGCTATATTCGTTTTGGGTTACACTCCGTAAAGTAATTTTCGACTAAGATATTAGTGTAATTATCACTACATACTCGTAGTACAAAACAAAGTCGCTTTCTCTGTCCCTATATCGTTATGTATGCTTAAATCTTTAAAACTACGCAATGGATTTTGATGCGGTTTTTTTTAATAGATAGAGTGATTGAAGAGGAAGGTTTGTATGTATAATAACATCCATTAAATAGTGGAGAAATCAATAATACATTACGGTTTCCGAAGCGAAGCCAGAGCGGGTCGCTAGTTTGATATATTTTATGCGAGTCGCCCAGATATGTAGTAAACTAAAAGTTTTTGGCGATTAAATGAAAAACAGATCGTAAATATGAATATCTCTTTATTTGTAACATTAAAGTCTAAACAGAAGGTATTTTATCACTTATAGTTTAAATAACAAATCTGCATCACTCAAGTATCGAACAATAAGACGTAAACTACGAACAGGTATATTATTTTAATGACAATAGAAACTCCAAAAATGTAAGCTTATTAAATCTTTCTACATTAATTTACGAAAAGAACTATTAAAACAAGATTGGAATTGGCTGGTCGATAAAAGGATTTTGAATATAAAAAACAATTTTTTTAGAGACTAGAAACTTTGACTAGAGAGGATTGGAAGTATTCAAAATAATTTAATTTAATTTCCCGATGTTTGTGTTAGTAATGTAATTTTAGTTTTGTTACACAATATGTGTATAGTTTTAACTTATTATTATCATTATTGAATTATTATCTGCGTATTTGACAAAAAAATATTGATTTTATAATTTCAGATCCTGTAATGAATTTGATTCAAATAAAGATATTGAAAATATAAATGTGAATTAAACTTGACCACAGACTTAGGTATATAAATAGAATATATTTAAGTGTATTTATTTCTATAAAACTTTTAGATACATAACAATATGCTTCAAGCGCGAATATTTTTTAGTTTTTTTTTTTAATTATAATTTCATATGGATGATTTGCTAATAGCATTGGTCTGTGGGACCGATCAGTATCACTTGAATGGATATTATTAACGAATTGTTTAATACTGTTAATAAAAATGTGTTTATATCATTGAATTTATAATTGTGAGGTTCTTGTGTTTATTGGGCGTTTCGTCGCCTCCTTCCGGGGCCGCCGGCGAAGTTAGCAGCCGCCAATCCCATGAGGTGCTTGGCTTGAAGAGCTCCAGAATAACCGCGGCCAAGACCAAGATCGAAAGCTCGTTTCTCGCTGGAAGTTTAAAGTTCAATTGAATTAATCGTTTTTAAATAGTTAGATTACTTAAATAAAACAAATAAATGCCTAAAATAAAGTGAATTTCGGTAAAGCGGAATGAAATGGCTAAAGAAATTCAGACCGCATGAAATTCGAGCAAAGATATCGACGTAAAAGAAAATTTATTTGTATTTGCATATTCAAGTGATGATCACGACCACTCTGCCAAGAATGCATACGACTGAGAAGAATAATGAGAAGAGTGCATATTCTTTACAGTTTTTTTTATATCTCATATTCAAATACTTATAACCGAACCGAACGTAACCGAATTCGGACGAACAAACATTTACAGTTTTTTATTTATGTAGATATGAGACAAGTTTTGAACGATTCTTAATCAAAGACTGTTTAGGGAGAATTGAACCGTAACAGTAATAAAATATAAATGAAAGCATAGTTCACCATTCAGTTAAATATGAAATCTTGAAGTTTCAGTACGTTTTATACTTCGTTAATGAGCAATATGATTTGAAAGCAGTTTGCGGAGGCTCTTCAAACTAAGCTCTGAATACCGCGTGTCAATGAAATTTTATAATTATATTATGTACATTGTTTGCTTTACAGAAAACATCAGCTGAAAAGTATTTTTTCTCTTACAATATTTTAAAGTGAAAATTTTATTACATCATCTCAAACTTTTTCGTCTGTGTGTTGCATGTCGCGTGACGGTCGGCCGCGGAGTAGGGATAAAGTGAAAGGTGCTCCTCAGAGCAGCCAAGGCCAATATGGCGGCGCCTATAGTTCGCAGCGGCTGACCGTGGTCTAATAGACTATTACTCATTTGTGCCAGTGCTCCACGCCATTTTGTTTTTGTTTTTGTCAGTGTTCAATGTAAATGTTGTTTGTCAGAATTAAATGTCTATAATGTGAAAAAAAGTTTCACTTTTACCGAGGTTTCATAAAACCACACAATTCTTTTTTTATTTGTGTTTTAATGTCAGGTGCGGATTTCTCAACTGGTTCATCAACATTTACAATAATTTCAGAAATGCACAAAAATTTTTTAGAACTTTTGTTACTAATACAGCTCTGACATAGCACATGTAAAACCTAACGCGGGAACAGCATTAAGGGTTTTCATGAAGCAAATGAAAGCATTCCGGGGGCTTTATGCGAATGTTTTGGTTGAAAGCGACAAATTCTTCTGTTGATTGCAATTTTCGGAGCTACGTACGTCCTTGCGATAAATTTTAAACCAAACTATAATAATAATAATGCATCAATCAGAATAAAATAAAATTTAAAATTGTTCACCAATCAGTTTGGGAGTTTCCTCTTTATTAATCGATGTGAATATATTAAGATTTGATGTTTAGTAAAATTCAATTTTAACATAAAAAACAGTAAATTCTTCATTCAAATTTAATCGTAGACTATTACTGAAAGGTTTTGAAGTGTATAATTGCTTTTTCCCGCGTAGTATCACTAGTGAAATGTCTATCTGATATTTTTCTATTGCACTAGTTACATTTACTTAAATATTAATTAGATCTACCAAAATTGAGCAAATATGGCAGTGATTTGAATATTGGCTAAATACACTTGAACTTTGCGTATAAAAATCATAGGTCACTTATTAGAAGCAAACAAAAAAAAAACAAACAAATTTGAAATGCAAGACGCACCTAGTAATGTCATTCTTGTAGCTGAAAAGAGAAATTAAGTTAAAGAAAAGATAGTTATCGTTATAATGTTTAAAATAGACGAAAATATTGTAAGATTCAAATGTAATTAGATACATGAATATTATAAGAACAAAATTACATACATACACAATAATATCAAATGTATTTATCTATACATATAAATAAAATTGGAGTGTCTGTTTGTAATATTGAAATAACCGCTTTTTACTACATGCATATGAATATATCTATACGGTACATACACCTAAATTTTTATTTTTTTATTTTTGTCTGTCTGACTTTTTGTTCCCGCTAATCTCTGGAACGGCTGGACTGATTTTGACAAGACTCACTGATAGATATCTGATGATATAAGGAGTAACTTAGGCCACTTTTTTTAGACTAGCTTCGACCCGCGGCGTCATCACCCGCGGTACGACAATAGCCATGGATAATATCGCGGGACTCAGCTAGTGTTTTTATAAATTTAGTCGTTCTATACAGTGAAAAGAATAGAGGAAAGTTGAACAGAAAAAAGTATTGAGCGACAATTACATATAAGATGTTAAATCAATTGATAAAGGGACTAAAATGTTACTCACTTCTGCATTTTGCGTTCCATCTGAATGAGGTTTCCAAGGCGGCCCAGCATATCAATGATCTCGTCAGGATCGTATTGGCCATCATCACGGTAGTAGTCGTTGATACTGAAAAGGAAATATCTCATTTGTTTAATGACATCAACATCTACTAAAGTTCTTGATGGACGAACATTTTTGGCGTTTCTTAACGTTTTCGATAGCGTAAAAGTTAACCCAATTTTGTATGCAGTTGGAATAGCGCCCCTAGCGGCAAACGAACTCAAACGATCCCATTCCATACAAATATGAGTTAACTTTTACGCTATCGAGAACGTTAAAAAATTCGCACTAAGCACACTGATGTTGATTGGGAATTGTAACGCAAGACGCTTCGCGCCTATATCTCCTAGGGGAGCCAACGTCATCCTCTGGCGCAGATGCCCCGCCGGAGAAGGTTCTGGTAGTCTCCGATGCGGCCTCTGCTGCGGAGGAGATGCCGCCCCCAAAAGGAAGACCCGCCCGGAGGAGGGGCGCGCCGTCACCGGCGCAGTCATCGGCGTCGATGTCTGTCGCCTCACTGGACGGGCGAACGACAGAGGAGGAAGAAGGCGGCCTTCNAAAGAGAATGGATGAGAGAACGAAAAGAAAGAGGGAGAAAGAGAAAGGTATTATACACTACTCGCTTGTGTATGCGACTGTCGCGCCTGCGCACGTCTCATTTAACGGTTTTATTCCACGCACTTTTTTCCACGGATTTTTTCCACGGATTTTTTCTTACGGTTTTACTATCACATTTTTTTCAGTTCGGTCGCGCAGCCTAAATCCCTATCCCCTCCAAGCCTGCCGTAAGGAACTTCGTTCCAAAATTTTAATATAAGTTGTTTACTCAATTAAATTAATGTAAAATAGTATGTTAATAAATTTGAATGTCAAAATTGTTTGAGAATCGCCACGTCGCACTAGTGACTAACACAATTATATCAAGCTATATTCGTTTTAGGTTACACTCCGTATTTAAAGTAATTTTCGACTAAGATATTAGTGTAATTATTTGATATAGGTATTTTATACGAGCCGCCCAGATATGTACTAAACTAAAAGTGTGTCGATAAAATGAAAAACATATCGTAAATATGAATATCTCTTTATTTGTAACATTAAAGTCTAAACAGAAGGTATTTTGACACTTATAGTTTAAATAACAAATCTGCATCACTCAAGTATCGAACAATAAGACGTAAACTACGAACAGGAAACAGGTATATTATTTAATGACAATAGAAACTCCAAAAATGTAAGCTTATTAAATCTTTCTACATTAATTTACGAAAAGAACTATTACAACAAGATTGGAATTGACTGGTCGATAAAAGGATTTTGAATATGAAAAACAATTTTTTTAGAGACTAGAAACTTTGACTAGAGAGGATTGGAAGTATTCAAAATAATTTAATTTAATTTCCCGATATTTGTGTTAGTAATGTAATTTTAGTTTTGCTACACAATACGTGTATAGTTTGAACTTATTATTATCATTATTGAATTATCATTTGCGTATTTGACAAAAAAAATATTGATTTTATAATTTCAGATCCTGTAATGAATTTGATTCAAATAAAGATATTGAAAATATAAATGTGAATTAAACTTGGCCACAGACTTAGGTATATAAATAGAATATATTTATGTGTATTTATTTCTATAAAACTTTTAGATACATAACAATATGCTTCAAGCGCGAATATTTTTTAGTTTTTTTTTATATTATAATTTCACATGGATGATTTGCTAATAGCATTGGTCTGTGGGACCGATCAGTATCACTTGAATGCATATTATTAACGAATTGTTTAATACTGTTAATAAAAATGTGTTTATATTTTTGAATTTATAATTGTGAGGTTCTTGTGTTTATTGGGCGTTTCGTCGCCTCCTTCCGGGGCCGCCGGCGAAGTTAGCAGCCGCCAATCCCATGAGGTGCTTGGCTTGAAGAGCTCCAGAATAACCGCGGCCAAGACCAAGATCGAAAGCTCGTTTCTCGCTGGAAGTTTAAAGTTCAATTGAGTTAATCGTTTTTAAATAGTCAGATTACTTAAACAAAACAAATGAATGCCTGAAATAAAGTGAATTTCGGTAAAGCGGAATGAAATGGTTAAAGAAATTCAGACCGCATGAAATTCGAGCAAAGATATCGACGTTAAAGAAAATTTATTTGTATTTGCATATTCAAGTGATGAATGATCACGACCACTCTGCCAAGAATGCATACGACTGAGAAGAATAATGAGAAGAGTGCATATTCTTTACAGTTTTTTTTTATATCTCATATTCAAATACTTATAACCGAACCGAACGTAACCGAATTCGGACGAACAAACATTTACAGTTTTTTATTTATGTAGATATGAGACAAGTTTTGAACGATTATTAATCAAAGACTGTTTACGGAGAATTGAACCGTAACAGTAATAAAATACGAGTCTAATTTAAATGAAAGCATAGTTCAACATTCAGTTAAATATAAAATCTTGTAGTTTCCGTACGTTTTATACTTTGTTAATGAGCAATATGATTTGAAAGCAGTTTGCGGACGCTCCTCAAACTAAGCTCTGAACTTAAAGTGAAACTTTTATTACATCATCTCAAACTTTTTCGTCTGTGTGTTGCATGTCGCGTGACGGTCGGCCGGGGAGTGGGGATAAAGTGAAAGGCGCTCCTCAGAGCAAAGCCAATATGGCGGCGCCTATAGTTCGCAGCAGCTGACCGTGTAGTGTATAGACTATTTAATTTTATTACTCATTTGTGCCAGTGCTCCACGCCATTTTGTTTTTGTTTTTGTCAGTGTTCAATGTAAATGTTGTTTGTCAGAGCTAAATGTCTATAATGTGAAAAAAAGTTTCACTTTTACCGTGGTTTCATAAAACCACACAATTCTTTTTTTATTTGTGTTTTAATGTCAGGTGCGGATTTCTCAACTGGTTCATCAACATTTACAATAATTTCAGAAATGCACAATATTTTTTAGAGCTTTTGTTACTAATACAGCTCTGACATAGCACATGTAAAACCTAACGCGGGAACAGCATTAAGGGTTTTCATGAAGCAAATGAAAGCATTCCGGGGGCTTTATGCGAATGTTTTTGTTGAAAGCGACAAATTCTTCTGTTGATTGCAATTTTCGGAGCTACGTACGTCCTTGCGATAAATTTTAAACCAAACTATAATAATAATAATAATGCATAAATTAGAATAAAATAAAATTTAAACCAATTGTTCACCAATCAGTTTGGGAGTTTCCTCTTTATTAATCAATGTGAATATATTAAGATTTGATGTCTAGTAAAATTCAATTTTAACAAACAAAAACAGTAAATTCTTCATTCAAATTTAATCGTAGACTATTACTGAAAGGTTTTGAAGTGTATAATTGCTTTTTCCCGCGTAGTATTACTTTAGTGAAATGTCTATTTGATATCTTTCTATTGCACTAGTTACATTTACCTAAGTATTAATTATATCTACCAAAATTGAGCAAATATGGCAGTGATTTAAATATTGGCTAAATACACTTGAACTTCGCGTATGAAAATCATAGGTCACTTATTAGAAGCAAACAAAAAAGAACAAACAAATTTGAAATGCAAGACGCACCTAGTAATGTCATTCTTGTAGCTGAAAAGAGAAATTAAGTTAAAGAAAAGATAGTTATCGTTATAATGTTTAAAATAGACGAAAATAATGTAAGATTCAAATGTAATTAGATACATGAATATTATAAGAACAAAATTACATACATACATAATAATATCAAATGTATTTATCTATACATATAAATAAAATTGGAGTGTCTGTTTGTAATATTGAAATAACCGCTTTTTACTACATGCATATGAATATATCTATACGGTACATACACCTAAATTTTTATTTTTTTATTTTTGTCTGTCTGACTTTTTGTTCCCGCTAATCTCTGGAACTGGACTGATTTTGACAAGACTCACTGATAGATATCTCATGATATAAGGAGTAACTTAGGCCACTTTTTTTAGATTAGCTTCGACCCGCGGCGTCATCACCCGCGGTACGACAATAGCCATGGATAATATCGCGGGACTCAGCTAGTGTTTTTATAAATTTAGTCGTTCTATACAGTGAAAAGAATAGAGGAAAGTTGAACAGAAAAAAGTATTGAGCGACAATTACATATAAGATGTTAAATCAATTGATAAAGGGACTAAAATGTTACTAACTTCTGCATTTTGCGTTCCATCTGAATGAGGTTTCCAAGGCGGCCCAGCATATCAATGATCTCGTCAGGATCGTATTGGCCATCATCACGGTAGTAGTCGTTGATACTGAAAAGGAAAAGTCTCATTTAAACTCAATTGAGTAGGTTTTTTGCCGTCAGCATCTTCTAAAGTTGTTGATGGACGAACATTATTGGCGTTTCTTAACGTTCTCGATAGCGTAAAAGTTAACCCAATTTTGTATGCAGTTGGAATAGCGCCCCTAGCGGCAAACGTTCGCAAACGATCCCATTCCATACAAATATAAGCTAACTTTTACGCTATCGAGAACGTTAAAAAATTCGCACTAAGCACACTGGTGATGATTGGGAATTGTAACGCAAGACGCTTCGCGCCAATATCTCCCAACATCACTCACATACATAAACATTTGGTACTCGAAATCGGCGGCGTGCGAGTTCGTTAATTCGCACGATGAAAATTAATCGTTCACTTATGTTTTTTTTTTTTTTTTTTCCTACCTAGTCTGGTAGCCTTGAGAGGCTATTCCAGCGTAACCTTAACTAGTAGGTGAACTCGCGGGACTCAAGCCTGACGACGTTGCTAACACGAACCCTAGCAAGAGCCGTGCTTCGCAGAATCTACCACCGGATCGGAAACGCGACCCACTGAGAAGATCCGGCGAGAAACTCAGTGGGCTTCACTTATGAATGAATATCTTTCGAATAGCATTCGGATAATTAATATTAGTTGAATTTTGGACAAGAGATTTTTGGGTAACGCTTTTATAAAACGCGAAAGCGGAAGCCTATAGATATCAGATAATTATATCGCATGTAACCACAAATCGGCTTTCGCTTTTATCGGAATGTTCAATGTATGTTTACTGTGTGGTTTGAAATCCAATTGTTTGATATCATTACTGTTTCGTGACATTTAAGCCAGCTACTTTTTTTTTTTTTTATTGCTTACATGGGTGGATGAGCTCACAGCCCACCTGGTGTTAAGTGGTTAATGAAGGCCATAGACATCTACAACGTAAATGCGTTATCCACTTTAAGATATAAGTTCTGAGGTCTCAGTATAGTTACTACGGTTGCCCCACCCTACTTGATACGATAATACAATATCGATTTAATTTTTAAATTAGAACATCAGTGAGTGATTAAATGATGCAAAAATAATTAAAATATGTTTTTTTTATGATTGAAGGATTACTGGTGGCCCGGAGACCTTTCCAGTTTCACCAGGACAGGTCGGCGAGCAAAGGCTCAGGCAAGAAGGGGTGGGATTTGCTAACAGCTGCCCGAGCGCCTCCGAAGGAGACCTAACAGCTCAAGAGCAGCTGCTTCGCGAATGAATCTACTACCGGATCGGAATCGCGACCCGCTGAGAAGATCCGGCGAGAAACTCAGCGAGCTGATTCATGGGTTAGGTTCCACGGCAAACTCTTTGTCGAGTTCGACGAGTACGACTACAGAGGTCCCTAAGCCTGCTCCTAGTGTTAGAGCTGAAGGCGTCTAATGCAAAGGTTATTGGATCTGATGGATCCGTAAGGACGTGTCTAGGGCGTCGACGGTGAGTAGTCAGCGGCGGCAACGATAAGGCGATTATCATGACGCATAGCCTTATCAAAGTACCGTTCCGACGCTGACTTCATGTATTTCTGGATTGATTCGAGGTCCAGGTCGTCGTATAGTAATATGTTTTGCTGTTAGATGCCGCGCTTTTAATTTTCATTTCATTATGGTGCTTTAAATACTTTCCAGTTTCCGTGGTCATGGACGATTTAGGAGTTCTTAAGGCGTTATTAAAGACATTTTTATATTGGTCTAACTGCCGTCTATTATTATTATTATTTTTTTCCAATAAATCAAAATAAAATATTATGTGTTCATAACCTTTTCTAAACACAAACACAATCTCTGCAACTGCAAATCTACCGCTAAATATATTAGCGGTAGATTGACTTTACCTAACATCGCTAATGTCCTTAAGCGACTTTAACCATTTATCATCGGGTGGCCCATGTGCCCCCTTTATCAGTAAAGATTTTAAAAAAAAAACATTTTTTTTTGTCAGAAGGAAATCGCCGGACTTCCGCTCTCCACTGGGGATGGAGGGCGGGGCATGTCAGAGTCGAACTGACTAAAACCTCCTGTCGCTCAACAACCAACGTCCAAGCCTCGCATGAGACAGAACTCATGAAGAGGCAAAGGGGGGAAAGTGAAGCGTTTAATGCGGAGCACATCTCTCCCATCACCCTCCCCCTCGGAAAAAAGAAAGTCGGTAAGTTTGTGAGAGTATCTATTTTTTTTTTTTTTTGAATTTTTTGGAATTAGCTTCTCGATTATTTTTTAATAGTTTTTGACAATAGAACCATGATAATGTTAAAACTTATAATTTCAATTAATTATACTCGAATTTCGACTACTGCAGGATATATTAAATTTGTTGAAAATCAAAGTGTTTTTATATTGAAATATAAGAACAACAATAACGATACGAAAAAATTTGGAACTCAGATTCAAGAGTCGAATTTTTTTTTTATTGCCCTTGTAGACAGACGATCATACGGCCCATCTGATGGTGAGTTGTTACCGTCGCCCATGGACTTCAGCCTTGCCAGGGGAAGAGGCAAGCCACTGCCTACCGCTAAACACTCTCTACAAGACTCGTTTGAAGAGTCATAGAGCTTGGGAAACACTGTGAAGGGGAGCTCATTCCATAGCCGGATGGATGGATATATGCCTACCGAAAATATTGTTGTTGAATGTTGTTATTATAGGTAATTATTAACAACATTCAACTCTTGAATCTGACATTCGACTAATTGTTGTTAATCATTTATTTTATTAATTGTAATTTATAAAATGAACTTTATTTAAATACCACTACCTGGGGTATCCGAACGAGGGCACGACGAGAAGGAAAGCGAGGAGCACGCAGCTCGCCAACACGCAGGTGAACTTTACCATTCTGAAACAATAGAATATTATCCATAAAACATTTTCTATAGAGCCTATTTTTCTTTAATTCATCATTTTAGGTACTTAAACATTAAATTCGATAGGAAATCTGTTGTCCATCGTTCGTTTAGTAAGCGTCTGATTTATTTGTGAGGTATAAATAGCACGCAGATTGCTAATCGCTGGCTAACTGTTCACATAAGTGTAGAGAAGATTTTCAACGATGTTTGTTGTTGCGAAAGAGATTAGCTACTCGCTAGGTGCAGACGTAATGTTATGAGCATTATAAATAACACTTTGGCCGGGAATTCGATCAGATCAGTTTCAGATTACTTCAATACGAAGAAGACAGCTGATCAATTTTCCTAAAGACATTGAAAAGCATAGGTGCACAGAAAATGTAATATTCCTTGTGATATTAAGTGGTAACTTACCCTTAGTCTCAAACCGTGAGTGCCTCCACTTACCTTGAGACATGAGACAAGATCTCGAATGCATTGCATTGTACAAATAACGACTCAGACCGTGCATTGCATAAGTAATGAGACAGACCGGAATTGCTAGATGATATTCGCGAATTCAGCAATTATCACCACGTTGGCAATAAACCCCTTACTACCAAACTGCAAGACTTAACCAAGTTACTAAAATACCGTGTTTTCTATCTATTTTATTCAATATAAATTTAGAATATTCTTGTCTTTGAGACCAAATTCAATCGCTTCGATCGGTTTACGTACTGAATCGTAATTACTTGTGCCAGTCACACACTCGCCAATATCCCAGCGTCAAAACTATCAGAATTGCAATCGGTTATAGCTCTTTGCTAGTTTTACGCCGTTTCTAGCTTATCGAAGTCACCCTAACTATGGATTTAATTTCAAAAGATTCAACAAAAAAATATATCAAAAATTTAAGCCGAGTTAGCCGAAAGAAATTGTTTGATTTTCAGAAAATAAAAAAGGTAATAAAGAAAGCCGTATTTTTCAAATAGGTGCTTGTTGTAATGGACATTTGTAAAAAAATTGTCATTAACACTTTAAAATTTGTTTGGTAGATTTATTGTAAAAAATTGTCATTAAAATTTTAAAGTTTGTCTGGAACTGCATAACTAATGTCTTCCAAAGCCTGACTTGAGTTTAAATGCGCTTCTGCAACGACGATTAATGACTGTAAGCGCCGAAGAGCTTTCTCAAAATCAATATAAATTGCAGCTATTCGTATCATTTTGTACGCTAAAGCGTTGCCATTTGGTACTAGTAGAACTAAATGGTTGAAACGTAAAATTTGGATTCTCTTTTAGATTTTGTTTTTGTTTCTAAAACAGGTTGTCAGTTTAAATAATTAAGCATTTTTACTTAACAATTTCTGTCACCGTCTATATTTTTTAAAAATAATTGCGAAATATTCTTTTTTATACCTACAAATTGTTTAGCTTCCTTCATTTTCATCTTCGATCATACGATAATCATACGATGCATAATACGATTTAAGAGAAGTAATGCCTAGTTGTTGCTTAATAGTTGAAGAAGGTCTTCTGCGCGTCTAAGAAAAAAAAAAATGAAATGTACTCCGAAAGCTACTTGCACTGAAGAATAAAAAACAAATATTAAAATCAGGAACTACTAAAACTTATTGTGTAATTTCAAAGACCTGGTTTGATTCCATTATTTTAACTCCTGGACAAATGGATCCCGAAGTGGCCTATTAACCAATATTAAGTTTGTAATATAACTGTTTAATTCTAGAAGTATGTAACGCATTCGAATGTACATATACAATATTATGTAAAGAATAAATTTGCCGGAAATATCTATATATTTATATATAATGAAATGGTCATTAGTCTATTAATAACTTACAATAATACCTATTTTTAGTAAAGTATATTTGATTGTGTATTTAGTTACTTTACAATTTTTATTTTTACTTTTACGTTATTTTCGCTATCATACCGAAAAATAATACGTAAATTGACCATTAATATTGCTTTTTACAGCAGATTGTGCAATTTTCTACATTCCAATATCACTATGAAAATATGAAGCTTGTTCAGAATGATATTCGTAAGCCACAATCCATTCAACTTTGCGTTCGATTATCGTTTGAAACACGGGCTTTTCTATTGTAAAAATTAGCGCTTCAAATCCCATGGAATGTTCAAGAGATTCAAAATTATCTTGGTATAAACACCGTGGTCGCGGTGGTCTAACGTCCGTGGCGTACTTTCCAAGAGAGACCATAAAACATTATCAAATCAGCTAAAATAGACATTGTTTACGCTCACGTGGATTGAACTTTATGATCCCATGCAGAGTTTTTCTGAACGGTTTCTTGATTACAGAACATGGTATTATTAAGAAATTCAACCACATTCCCATATATGTATTATGAATTATTACACCATGAACCTACTATTGAGCATACTGAGCATTACAATCGGTCTTGATACCTTTGAGATTATTCACGCAATGGGCGAAAAGTCACGTCCTATTTTATTAAATATTGGGTTTTTGAACTTTAGGTTTGAATCTGTGGCGTACTAAATCTATAACTCATATCTCAGTTACTTATGTAGAAATATAAAATAAAAGTTTAACTATTTTTAAGGATAGCAGTGATCTATAATCGAAACTACATAGCTAGGAAATATTTTAAAATACGATTTTAAAGAGAAATGCACAAATTTTCTACTTAAACGGATCACTCGATTTTAATTTCAATGTAACGAACAATAAATTAAGAAGATACCCAATTAAAACTTGTAAATTTATAACTCGTGAAAGTTGTGTAGGTACTTGTAATGTTTGTTTTTTGGAAACAATTCGTGAGCAACCCTTAGACAATACGAACTTTAATCGAAGAATTTTACGGTTTCCATTCGTGGTGTTTGTGTTTTTGAATTAGTTAAAGTACGTTTTACAAGTGGCGCTATGAAATTTGATTGAAATTTCTTGAACTACTTCTATTGAATGTGCATACAGAACATTGTTTTGTAAACGAATTATGTTGTTGTTGTTGAACTCCGAAGTCTTGGAGAACGATGGTTTTTGTTATTGGAGCAAAGATTACTGGTGGCGTTTAGAACTTTTCAGTTTCATTAGGATGGCTGGGCGTGGCTGGGAGTGGGATTAGCTAACAGCTGCCCGAGCGCCTCCAACGAAGATCTAACAACTCAATAGCATTGCGTTGCGAATGAATCTAGATTAAATAATGTCTCTTATATTGCTATATCTCTAGTTTCTATAGTTGCTGTTATAACCTATGTTTTCTTTTTCTCCTTATATTTTTCTCAATAAAATGACATGTTCTTCTTCACAAGAGGCTTGTAGAGAGTACTTAACGGTAGGCAGCGGCTTGGCTCTGCCCTTGTCATTGCTGACGGCCTCACCTGACGGTGAGTGTTTACCGTATACTGCCGTATGCTCATCCGCCTACACAGGCAATATTTTTTTTCTTCTCAAATTAAATCATCGCACGGTGAAAACGAACTCAACGCTGTACCGCAAATTGGCTACATTAAATCGGGATCTATAAACTTAGCTCAGTTTAGTAACGTAACCGTACAGCAAAACAATAATCTCATTACGTTTATCAGAAGCGGTGAGCTGTAGCGTTGACAGGGCTCACCCCACAAAATAATTAAACAAAAACAACGGATTCATGTTGCTATAGTACCCCGTACTTGACCTATAAGGTTAGAGCTATCCATTCATTTCTGTATGAAACCGTTCTCGTAGTAAATGGGTTTGGCAGAATCAAAACAAACTTTTACTGAGAATTCGATAGTATAATTCATATGTTATTATTTTAATTGAATTAATTAGGTAGTTAAATTGACACGATTAATAATTGTAATCCAGTTAATCGTTGTAAAATATTATAGCAATAGCAAGATTAGCAAGATTATTTGAGAAGTAAATTACCCATGACCCTAAAGATGCATTAGATGGATTAGTAACTCAAAAACTAAGATGGAAGCATCGAACGTACTAAAATACCTAATAATATGCATAGCCACACAAAATGAATGATTATTCCGCTAAGCCGTAGTTAATTAAAGCACTCTCTTTGAAGTGAGGCTTGAAAATATTTTTTTGCGGAAAGTGGCTTGGCTGACCTCTAGAGTTTGCTTATATATTTATGAGCGATATGATCACTTACAATCATGTAGATAATACACCTTTAAAGATTAATACTCTATTTAACTCTTAATAATACAGGTGTTTTTGTTGTGTCTTAGCGTGGTTTTATCTATACTGATATTATAAAGAGGAAAGATTTGTTTGTTTGTTTGTTTCGAATAGGCTCCGAAACTACTGGACCGATTTGAAAAATTCTTTTTCCATTAGAAGCCGACACTGTCCCTGATGAACATAGGCTACTTTTAAAAATTTTTGTTTTGTTTCATGTGTGTTTTAATGTTTCCGAAGCGAAGCGAGGGCGGGTCGCTATCTGATAATATATTACGATTCTTAATTAAATTATTTTACATAAATATTGCACTAAAACCTAGGTGCGGCACAATATTAGGATTACAATCTAGTTAAATAAGGCTAATAAGGAATTTTAATTTAACGTAAAATACTATTTAAAACAATGTTTCTAAGATTAAGGCCACTGACCTTATTCTCACTGACCGATCATGTGTTCTTTTGTTAACTAATTTTAAAACATTCGACTGACTTATCAGTCCAAGTTTAGGATTGACGTTTTAAGAGCTACGTCTATAATATCGGTTGCGGTAGCCCAATTCGAAATACGGGCTATATAATATATAAAATCATGATACACTTTATTATTTATAGTACTGTGATTATAACATTTAATGAGTTTTGAGTCGGCGCTGCTGCAAGAGCCATGGATCCAAGCGTAATTAAATGTGAAGATTGTGGTCATTGCCCATTATATAATAATGTGTGTAACTTATGTACCCGTGAAAGCTTAAAATTTATTCTTATAATAATATTTTACAGTAATTACATAAGTTAAAAAAAGAGTAAATTGAG